CTGTAGCACCTCCTGAGAAGACCTGGGCTGTAACTATGACTGTAGCACCTCCTGAGAAGACCTGGGCTGTAACTATGACTGTAGCACCTCCTGAGAAGACCTGGGCTGTACCTATGATTGTAGCACCTCCTGAGAAGACCTGGGCTGTAACTATGATTGTAGCACCTCCTGAGAAGACCTGGGCTGTAACTATGACTGTAGCACCTCCTGAGAAGACCTGGGCTGTAACTATGACTGTAGCACCTCCTGAGAAGACCTGGGCTGTAACTATGATTGTAGCACCTCCTGAGAAGACCTGGGCTGTAACTATGACTGTAGCACCTCCTGAGAAGACCTGGGCTGTAACTATGACTGTAGCACCTCCTGAGAAGACCTGGGCTGTACCTATGATTGTAGCACCTCCTGAGAAGACCTGGGCTGTAACTATGACTGTAGCACCTCCTGAGAAGACCTGGGCTGTAACTATGACTGTAGCACCTCCTGAGAAGACCTGGGCTGTAACTATGACTGTAGCACCTCCTGAGAAGACCTGGGCTGTAACTATGACTGTAGCACCTCCTGAGAAGACCTGGGCTGTAACTATGACTGTAGCACCTCCTGAGAAGACCTGGGCTGTAACTATGACTGTAGCACCTCCTGAGAAGACCTGGGCTGTAACTATGACTGTAGCACCTCCTGAGAAGACCTGGGCTGTACCTATGATTGTAGCACCTCCTGAGAAGACCTGGGCTGTAACTATGACTGTAGCACCTCCTGAGAAGACCTGGGCTGTAACTATGGCTGTAGCACCTCCTGAGAAGACCTGGGCTGTAACTATGACTGTAGCACCTCAACAAAGAAGTACCTTAGTTACTGTAGCTAGGTAATGCTAACATGGACTGTAAACCAGGGATCTATAATGATATCTGGATAGGGTAACACTAGCTTATAGCTGTGCCACCCATGGCCACAGGGGGCGCTGTGGTACTGCAGACTAAATTCACCAACAGCTTTCATAAAGATTGGATTTTGTGGGAATTTTAGTGTTCCTTGTCATCCTGAACTTTTTTCTTGTTTTCTATAAATCCACACTTTATTGCAACAAACTCTGCTCCTTTGTCTTGAGCTCTTGGCTCTGCTCTGATCAGCAGCTCTGATTGGTCGAATCAGAGCTGTGTGCATATGCATGAGAGCCACACACACATATTTGGTGCAAAGCATCATGGGAGGTTGTCCACTGGACAGAACTGGACAGATGCCCAAATATCAGGCGAGTTCCGCTAATCTTTCTGTGCCCATAGTGGTCCAATGCACTACTGAGCACAAGCCATTGATTTGAATAAGCCGCCATCTTGGATCAACAGGGTTTGTATACAGATGCTAATGCTAACACAGACTGTATACAGATGCTAATGCTAACACAGACTGTATACAGATGCTAATGCTAACACAGACTGTATACAGATGCTAATGCTAACACAGACTGTATACAGATGCTAATGCTAACACAGACTGTATACAGATGCTAATGCTAACACAGACTGTATACAGATGCTAATGCTAACACAGACTGTATACAGATGCTAATGCTAACACAGACTGTATACAGATGCTAATGCTAACACAGACTGTATACAGATGCTAATGCTAACACAGACTGTATACAGATGCTAATGCTAACACAGACTGTATACAGATGCTAATGCTAACACAGACTGTATACAGATGGACAATGCTAACACAGACTGTATACAGATGCTAATGATAACACAGACTGTATACAGATGCTAATGCTAACATATTGTCTTTGTAAATCCACATATTAGCATTTAAGCATTGACTAATCAGATGCAGACCACCTTAGCAACCACCCTAGCAACACGTCTGCCCCTGTTACAACGCCAAGCAAACGCCGTCAAAACAAATGCCCATATAAGGAATTTGGCTGAAGTTAGCTTATGCTCAAATCGGCCTCTTCTGCATTAAGGCTAACACTATGGTGATGTCACACTCAGGAACTCAGGGTCTGAAGGTCTACAGACAGGTCTACAGACAGGTCTACAGACAGGTCTACAGACAGGTCTACAGACAGGTCTACAGACAGGTCTACAGACAGGTCTACGGACAGGTCTACAGACAGGTCTACAGACAGGTCTACGGACAGGTCTACGGACAGGTCTACAGACAGGTCTACGGACAGGTCTACAGACAGGTCTACAGACAGGTCTACAGACAGGTCTACGGACAGGTCTACAGACAGGTCTACAGACAGGTCTACGGACAGGTCTACGGACAGGTCTACAGGTCTACAGACAGGTCTACGGACAGGTCTACAGACAGGTCTACAGACAGCCCCAGATCCTCAGACCTGGATCCTCAGTCCTGGATCCTCAGACCTGGATCCTCAGTCCTGGATCCTCAGACCTGGATCCTCAGACCTGGATCCTCAGACCTGGATCCTCAGACCTGGATCCTCAGACCTGGATCCTCAGACCTGGATCCTCAGACCTGGACCCTCAGTCCTGGACCCTCAGTCCTGGACCCTCAGACCTGGACCCTCAGACCTGGATCCTCAGTCCTGGATCCTCAGTCCTGGATCCTCAGTCCTGGATCCTCAGTCCTGGATCCTCAGTCCTGGACCCTCAGTCCTGGATCCTCAGACCTGGACCCTCAGACCTGGATCCTCAGACCTGGACCCTCAGACCTGGACCCTCAGACCTGGACCCTCAGACCTGGATCCTCAGTCCTGGACCCTCAGTCCTGGACCCTCAGTCCTGGATCCTCAGACCTGGATCCTCAGACCTGGATCCTCAGTCCTGGATCCTCAGTCCTGGATCCTCAGTCCTGGATCCTCAGTCCTGGATCCTCAGTCCTGGATCCTCAGTCCTGGATCCTCAGTCCTGGATCCTCAGTCCTGGATCCTCAGTCCTGGATCCTCAGTCCTGGATCCTCAGTCCTGGATCCTCAGTCCTGGATCATCAGTCCTGGATCCTCAGACCTGGATCCTCAGACCTGGATCCTCAGTCCTGGATCCTCAGACCTGGATCCTCAGACCTGGATCCTCAGTCCTGGATCCTCAGACCTGGATCCTCAGTCCTGGATCCTCAGACCTGGATCCTCAGACCTCGATCCTCAGACCTGGACCCTCAGACCTGGATCCTCAGTCCTGGATCCTCAGACCTGGATCCTCAGACCTGGATCCTCAGACCTGGATCCTCAGACCTGGATCCTCAGTCCTGGATCCTCAGACCTGGATCCTCAGACCTGGATCCTCAGACCTGGATCCTCAGACCTGGATCCTCAGTCCTGGATCCTCAGACCTGGATCCTCAGACCTGGATCCTCAGTCCTGGATCCTCAGACCTGGATCCTCAGTCCTGGATCCTCAGACCTGGATCCTCAGACCTCGATCCTCAGACCTGGACCCTCAGACCTGGATCCTCAGTCCTGGATCCTCAGACCTGGATCCTCAGACCTGGATCCTCAGACCTGGATCCTCAGACCTGGATCCTCAGTCCTGGATCCTCAGACCTGGATCCTCAGACCTGGATCCTCAGACCTGGATCCTCAGTCCTGGATCCTCAGACCTGGATCCTCAGTCCTGGATCCTCAGACCTGGATCCTCAGACCTCGATCCTCAGACCTGGACCCTCAGACCTGGATCCTCAGTCCTGGATCCTCAGACCTGGATCCTCAGACCTGGATCCTCAGACCTGGATCCTCAGACCTGGATCCTCAGTCCTGGATCCTCAGACCTGGATCCTCAGACCTGGATCCTCAGTCCTGGATCCTCAGACCTGGATCCTCAGACCTGGATCCTCAGACCTGGATCCTCAGACCTGGATCCTCAGTCCTGGATCCTCAGACCCCTGCTGGGCGACAGCTCTCGTTTCGCTCAGAGGTCAGCACTCTCGTTATCTGACGAGACGTGGGGGTCAGTTACACACACTTGGACACACACAGATACACACACACTCACACACACACACACACTCACAGATACACACACACTCACAGATACACACACACTCACAGATACACACACACTCACACACACACACACACACTCACAGATACACACACACTCACAGATACACACACACTCACAGATACACACACACTCTGGCTCTAAGTGGGAATCTGGAGCCAAATGTGTGCGTAGCAACCACTCCATAGCAACCAAAGAGCCAATCAGGAGCAGCACCATCACCATTTGCTGCTGAAGCTCCTGATTGGTCAGAAGTTCGGCCTCATATCTGGGTTTACAAAGACATTATCATAAAACAAACACCAGGGTCTCAGAAAGAGCTAAACCAGGGATTTTTAAACTGTTTTTTCTGCTGCACTCTGAGTGGTCAACGCTAGCTTAGCTTGTTAACATTAGCATAGCATTAGCCACTGCCCCTTTCATCCTCCAGCTTTAATAGAGGAGATAACAGATGTGTCCCACAGTGGGGACATTTCAGTGTTGCAGCGCACAGACAGGACAGCAGTGAGACACAGGGAGCACACTGCTTCAGTATCGATATATCAATACATCTTTCTATACGTTACAAACCCCTAGCTTTAATATCATGTATCCCAGCGTTAAAACATATTATTAAAGCTAAATAATTTACTAAACAACATTTTTTTTTACATCTATTTGAAAATAATCAGTTTTTCTTTAAAAAAATATATATATATATTTGTAAAATGTTTTGATTGTACAGTTTAGCACAGCCCTGGTCAGGACGGCTCGGTGTAAACGCATCAAGGCAACAATACAACAGTAAACTTATAAATAACACCTGTAGTTGAACAGAAAGAGTCTTAAATTAAATATTGTGAACCAATCAGACCACTTCATGTTGTCTTCATCTTATCTTTTGTGTAAGAAAGTTTTTCACTTTTCTGTCTGAAGATACTGAAACATGTGACAGACAAACATGTAAAACCAGAGCTATAATCTGTTTTAGAGCCAGGGACTACAGTGGTCTGAAAGTTACGTATCCGAGCTTTAACCCTGAGACTTCACAGTACCGTGACTTCTGCGGGTTTGGCCGGCTCTGCTCGCACTGTCTTCGGCTGTGGTTGTGGCTCTGCCCGGGGGACTCCCAGGGCTCTGGAGGGGGGCACCTCATCCCCGTAGCCCACTTTAGGCTTCTTCTTCTGGGCTGCGGAGGACGACTCTGCAGACTTTTTACCCAGGTAAGAGGAGGCGAAATACAGCGCGACCGCCGTGCAGAGGAGGGCCGGGAGGAGGATGGTGGGGTCCAGCTCCATCGTGGAGGAGAGAGGGGGGAGAGACCCAGGGGAGACCCGGGAGAGAGGACCCGGAGTGGGAGCGACAGAGACCCGGGGGAGAGGAGAGCGACCCGGGGGAGAGAGGAGAGCGACCCGGGGGAGAGGAGAGCGACCCGAGGGAGAGGAGAGCGACCCGAGGGAGAGAGGAGAGCGACCCGAGGAGAGGAGAGCGACCGGGAGAGGAGAGCGACCCGGGGAGAGGAGAGCGACCCGAGGGAGAGGAGAGCGACCCGAGGGAGAGAGAGGAGAGCGACCCGAGGGAGAGGAGAGCGACCCGAGGGAGAGGAGAGCGACCCGAGGGAGAGGAGAGCGACCCGAGGGAGGGAGAGCGACCGAGAGAGAGAGCGACCCGAGGGAGAGGAGAGCGACCCGAGGGAGAGGAGAGCGACCCGAGGGAGAGGAGAGCGACCCGAGGGAGAGAGGAGAGCGACCCGAGGGAGAGGAGAGCGACCCGAGGGAGAGGAGAGCGACCCGAGGGAGAGGAGAGCGACCCGAGGGAGAGGAGAGCGACCCGAGGGAGAGGAGAGCGACCCGAGGGAGAGCGACGAGGAGAGGAGAGACCCGAGGGAGAGGAGAGCGACCCGAGGGAGAGGAGAGCGACCCGAGGGAGAGGAGAGCGACCCGAGGGAGAGGAGAGCGACCCGAGGGAGAGGAGAGCGACCCGAGGGAGAGGAGAGCGACCCGGGAGAGAGGAGAGCGACCCAGGGGAGAGGAGAGCGACCCGGGGGAGAGGAGAGCGACCCAGGGGAGAGGAGAGCGACCCGAGGGAGAGGAGAGCGACCCGGGGAGAGGAGAGCGACCCGCGGGAGAGGAGAGCGACCCGAGGGAGAGGAGAGCGACCCAGGGGAGAGGAGAGCGACCCGAGGGAGAGGAGAGCGACCCGAGGGAGAGGAGAGCGACCCGGGAGAGAGGAGAGCGACCCAGGGGAGAGGAGAGCGACCCGGGGGAGAGGAGAGCGACCCAGGGGAGAGGAGAGCGACCCGAGGGAGAGGAGAGCGACCCGGGGGAGAGGAGAGCGACCCGCGGGAGAGGAGAGCGACCCGAGGGAGAGGAGAGCGACCCGGGGGAGAGGAGAGCGACCCGAGGGAGAGGACCCGGAGTGGGAGCGACTGAGACCCGAGGAGACAGCGCAGATGGACACTGGAGAAGAGCGTGTGTCTTCACCCTCGGACCCAGAGCGACTGAAGCAGCAGGTCCGGTCTCTGCCTCCCCCCGGTCCTCCCCCCGGTCCTCCCCCTCCTCCCCCGGCCCAGCTGACGGCCCTCCCCGCGGCCCGTGTCTCCGTCAGCAGCAGCTGTTTTTGGTCCATGGTCATTTTGTAATTTTCACTTCACACAGAACCTTTTATAAAATAAACAATAAGGACATTTGCAAACGCTTCTGTCACAATAATAACTATTGATGATCAAAAACAAACTGCAGCAACAGTAAATGAACTGTTTACATTGAATTGTGTTGAATTTGATAAATCTACAGTTTATATTTGTTTCAGCCTTTGCCTTTTTATTGATACAGTGACAGTCATTAAACTGGATCGTTCTGATGATTGTAAACGTGGCTCTGTTCACCACAGGTCTGTGCAATACTATTATTATTATTATTATTATTATTATTATTATTGCCCATTGGTTTTACTCGTGGCAATAATGAAGAATATTTTCTCTGAAATTAAAATATTATTGCATTGAGTTTATTATTGGCTTTATTACTGTGACACCATGTTTAACTTCCAGATAAAGAATAAATCTGAAATAAAAATATATTTATTTGGACTAACCTCTTGTGGAGCCCATTGTCTGATGTACCTGTGTCTGATGTACCTGTGTCTGATGTACCTGTGTCTGTATGTACCTGTGTCTGATGTACCTGTGTCTGATGTACCTGTGTCTGATGTACCTGTGTCTGATGTACCTGTGTCTGATGTACCTGTGTCTGATGTACCTGTGTCTGATGTACCTGTGTCTGATGTACCTGTGTCTGATGTACCTGTGTCTGATGTACCTGTGTCTGTATGTACCTGTGTCTGATGTACCTGTGTCTGATGTACCTGTGTCTGATGTACCTGTGTCTGATGTACCTGTGTCTGATGTACCTGTGTCTGATGTACCTGTGTCTGATGTACCTGTGTCTGATGTACCTGTGTCTGATGTACCTGTGTCTGATGTACCTGTGTCTGATGTACCTGTGTCTGATGTACCTGTGTCTGATGTACCTGTGTCTGATGTACCTGTGTCTGATGTTACCTGTGTCTGATGTACCTGTGTCTGATGTACCTGTGTCTGATGTACCTGTGTCTGATGTACCTGTGTCTGTATGTACCTGTGTTGAATGCTTTGATAATATATAATTATAGAATATTGAATGCAGCCAGAATTTACATGAATGTTATCACAGAGGACTGAGACCAGAGGACTGAGACCACAGGACTGAGACCAGAGGACTGAGACCAGAGGACTGAGACCAGAGGACTGAGACCAGAGGACTGAGACCAGAGGACTGAGACCAGAGGACTGAGACCAGAGGACTGAGACCAGAGGACTGAGACCACAGGACTGAGACCAGAGGACTGAGACCAGAGGACTGAGACCAGAGGACTGAGACCAGAGGACTGAGACCAGAGGACTGAGACCAGAGGACTGAGACCACAGGACTGAGTCCAGAGGACTGAGACCAGAGGACTGAGACCAGAGGACTGAGTCCAGAGGACTGAGACCAGAGGACTGAGACCAGAGAACTGAGTCCAGAGGACTGAGACCAGAGGACTGAGACCAGAGGACTGACACCAGAGGACTGAGACCAGAGGACTGAGACCAGAGGACTGAGACCAGAGGACTGAGACCAGAGGACTGAGACCAGAGGACTGAGACCAGAGGACTGAGACCAGAGGACTGAGACCAGAGGACTGAGACCAGAGGACTGAGACCACAGGACTGAGTCCAGAGGACTGAGACCAGAGGACTGAGACCAGAGGACTGAGACCAGAGGACTGAGTCCAGAGGACTGAGACCAGAGGACTGAGGTCCAGAGGACTGAGACCAGAGGACTGAGTCCAGAGGACTGAGACCAGAGGACTGAGTCCAGAGGACTGAGACCAGAGGACTGAGACCAGAGGACTGACACCAGAGGACTGAGACCAGAGGACTGAGACCAGAGGACTGAGACCAGAGGACTGAGACCAGAGGACTGAGTCCAGAGGACTGAGACCAGAGGACTGAGACCAGAGGACTGACACCAGAGGACTGAGACCAGAGGACTGAGACCAGAGGACTGAGACCAGAGGACTGAGACCAGAGGACTGAGACCAGAGGACTGAGACCAGAGGACTGACACCAGAGGACTGAGACCAGAGGACTGACACCAGAGGACTGACACCAGAGGACTGAGACCAGAGGACTGAGACCAGAGGACTGAGACCAGAGGACTGAGACCACAGGACTGAGACCAGAGGACTGAGACCAGAGGACTGAGTCCAGAGGACTGAGACCAGAGGACTGAGACCAGAGGACTGACACCAGAGGACTGAGACCAGAGGACTGACACCAGAGGACTGAGACCAGAGGACTGAGACCAGAGGACTGAGACCAGAGGACTGAGACCACAGGACTGAGACCAGAGGACTGAGACCAGAGGACTGAGACCAGAGGACTGAGACCAGAGGACTGAGACCAGAGGACTGACACCAGAGGACTGAGACCAGAGGACTGACACCAGAGGACTGACACCAGAGGACTGAGACCAGAGGACTGAGACCAGAGGACTGAGACCAGAGGACTGAGACCATAGGACTGAGCCCAGAGGACTGAGACCAGAGGACTGAGCCCAGAGGACTGAGACCACAGGACTGAGACCAGAGGACTGAGTCCAGAGGACTGAGTCCAGAGGACTGAGTCCAGAGGACTGAGACCAGAGGACTGAGACCAGAGGACTGAGCCCAGAGGACTGAGACCAGAGGACTGAGACCAGAGGACTGAGACCAGAGGACTGAGACCAGAGGACTGAGACCAGAGGACTGAGACCAGAGGACTGACACCAGAGGACTGACACCAGAGGACTGAGACCAGAGGACTGAGACCAGAGGACTGACACCAGAGGACTGAGCCCAGAGGACTGAGACCAGAGGACTGAGACCAGAGGACTGAGACCAGAGGACTGAGACCAGAGGACTGAGACCACAGGACTGAGACCAGAGGACTGAGTCCAGAGGACTGAGACCAGAGGACTGAGACCAGAGGACTGACACCAGAGGACTGAGACCAGAGGACTGAGACCAGAGGACTGAGACCAGAGGACTGAGACCACAGGACTGAGACCAGAGGACTGAGACCAGAGGACCGAGTCCAGAGGACCGAGTCCAGAGGACCGAGACCAGAGGACCGAGTCCAGAGGACTGAGTCCAGAGGACTGAGACCAGAGGACTGAGACCAGAGGACTGAGACCAGAGGACTGAGACCAGAGGACTGAGACCAGAGGACTGAGACCAGAGGACTGAGACCACAGGACTGAGACCAGAGGACTGAGACCAGAGGACCGAGTCCAGAGGACCGAGTCCAGAGGACCGAGTCCAGAGGACCGAGACCAGAGGACTGAGACCAGAGGACTGAGCCCAGAGGACTGAGACCACAGGACTGAGACCAGAGGACTGAGACCAAAGGACTGAGACCAGAGGACTGAGACCACAGGACTGAGACCACAGGACTGAGACCACAGGACTGAGACCAGAGGACTGAGATCAGAGGACTGAGACCAGAGGACTGAGACCAGAGGACTGAGACCAGAGGACTGAGACCACAGGACTGAGACCAGAGGACTGAGACCAGAGGACTGAGACCACAGGACTGAGACCAGAGGACTGAGACCAGAGGACTGAGACCAGAGGACTGAGACCAGAGGACTGAGACCAGAGGACTGAGACCAGAGGACTGAGACCAGAGGACTGAGACCAGAGGACTGAAACCAGAGGACTGAGACCAGAGGACTGAGCCCAGAGGACTGAGCCTAGAGGACTGAGACCAGAGGACTGAGACCACAGGACTGAGACCAGTCCTAATGTTTACACAAACCTGTTGAATCAATGGCATGAACAAACTACACTTTCTGAAATCACAGAAACCAGTTTATGTTTATTCTCAGTTTATGTTAAAACGTATAATGTTTGATAAATTAACGCATAATAAAAGCATGAGACTGCCCCCTGCTGGACAAAGCATGAGACTGCCCCCTGCTGGACAAAGCATGACACTGCCCCCAGCTGGACAAAGCATGACACTGCCCCCTGCTGGACAAAGCTGTGCGAGTTCAAACAACACGGATATAAACAACGTTACTAGTTTCTGAATTGGGGTTATGTTATTAATATGTTATTATTGTTATGAATGTGTTATTATTGTTATGAATGTGTTATTATTGTTATGAATGTGTTATTATTGTTATGAATGTGTTATTATTGTTATGAATGTGTTATTATTGTTATGAATGTGTTATTATTGTTATGAATGTGTTGAGAAGTGTTGAGTAAAAGGAAAATTTCACCAAACTGTTCATTTGTGAAACCCTGGTCTGGGGAAAGTGCCAAAACAATATTATAAACTTACTTTACTTTAAATTACTAAAATATTCTGTAAAATACTAGAAAGATTTTAGAATATTCCTCCAGAAAAACTCTGAAAACATTCAATTTTGACAAATGGAAACAGTGAATTTAACTGCACTCTTAAAACTGGTATAAAAAATAAAGAAAAAACCACCGACAAAGACACAACTTCCCAATTTAACTTTATAACGAGGATAATATCATATAATGTTTGAAAATGTCATAACACTGCTGTGGGCTTCTGCTGCTTAAAGGCTAATACTCCTAAAATACTGTTTATGGTCCAGCCTTAAAGTGTTTAAAACATAATTCTAGCTTTGTGACTAAGTTAGCATATAGCTAGTTAGCCCCCATCCGTCTGTCCAGATTCATCAGCTCTGGTCCTTCTCTGCTGTAATATCTAAATTATTTCATGAATAACTTTTGTTTTTGTCTCTATATAATGGTGTCATTTTAGTTTTATATTTGTTTGTTAGCTTCAGCCAGTGGGGCGGGTCCCTGACATGCTGCAGTACCACCCCGGGCCTGTGGGGGTGGACCCGGAATAAGAATTAGCCAATGCTAACATATAGCATTAGCAGACCTCTGGAAAACGTCTTTACAGGATGGTCCAAAGTTGTCTCTTGGCCCAAAGCTCCGTTCCACATGTGTGTCAATGCTGAGTGTTCTGGACCAGTCTAGTTTAGTCGCTGTGGACTTTAGAAGTCTCTCGTTTAAATGAATGGAGCTCGTGCAGCTGACTCATGCACAGATGTGTTTTTTCACATTTTCCAGCCCCTGCGGCCATTTTGAATCACTTCATGAGAGCCCAATGTTTGGTCCATTAGTTAGAACAGCGGAGACAGGAGTGACATCCGTTAATATTTACAGTCTATGGCTTCAGCATTAGCTCAATCATATATGTTAGCTTTAGCATTAGTTTGTATAAATGTTAGCTTTAGCATTAGTTTGTTTAAAGTGGTTCTCACCCCCGCTCGCGAGTATTTTATTCATAGGTAGGTTCTGCCACAGGGACCGATTTCAGCCAATCAGAAAGCTAGTCTGAAGTGACGTGTTCAACGCGCTGGCAGACGACGGTGAATTACATTAACCTAATAATACAAACAATGTTTATCTTTTATGTGTTCACACATTGAAAAAAAAACATTTCCCATTCATTAGCATTTAACAAGACACAAACATTGAATATGCTACAGATGCACCTGCCTGTTCTTGGCTGAGCCTTCGACTAGCGGTTCTAAGCAGCACTTACATGTGTTCACATCGGATAATGTGCGACTACTAGGCAAATGTGGATATAAACATTGCACGACTCGAGAGGCAGCACGACAGAGAGGAGCAAAGTGGTCACGTTGCCAAAAGCCGCTGATCAAAACAGGATAATGAAAAACCAAAACAACAGCTAAACCAGGACTAAATCAGGACTGACACCGTGCTTGTGAACATAATAAAGTGACATGTTACGATCGGTGAACTCAAGTGTTATTATTGATTTTAGTCGCGCATGCGTACTTGTGTACCCCTGTATAACTTTAATATCTACAGTATTTGGTATAACCGTCTCATTCGCGAGTGTTTTCGCGGGTGTTTGTGTACGTGTAATGTGAAAGTGTATGTAATATTAAACTAAAATGTCTTCACATTTCGACTGTGGGTGTGACAGTATTTCCATCACGGCTAAAGGTAAAATACTTATGATAATAAAGGTTTATTCATGAATTATGAATTGTAATGGTAAAACAGTCTATGGGTAAAACAGACCGCGGGATTTTGCTAATGTCAATTGCTAATGTGCAGCTTCATTTATAGATTAATTTCTGACTTATTGTAAAATTTCAAAGTTTGAAACTATATAAATGCTTGATAAAAACAACATATAAAACAGGACTTACAAGGGCCAAGAATATATATAGAAAATAACATTGCATGATTCATTTACAAGAAGGAAGAAGAACAAGTAATACATTGACATTGAATATATAGCTACATAAGTGTGGGATATGGTATAACTAATTTAATGTGAAATCACCATTAACATATGTCCATGTTTTTTGTACGCTTAAGGCCATATTGCCCGATCAATATGAGCATCGAATATGTTCCTTCAAGGACCTTCCTTCTGAGAATGGGTTTTCAGCAACTTTACGCCTTCCAATCCGAACACGGGAAGAGGCTGTTGAGTGGAAGAAGGATTTCCAAGAGGCCTCTAAAACAACTCTTCGACTCTCAAAAACATATCCCCATGTGGGTCAGAAGGTCATTTTCAGAGTAAGTAGTTGTAGCACTTTATCATCATGATTATACCAGTAATTCAGATATAGAGATCCTTTATTCGTCCCACAGTGGGGAAATTTCAGTGTTGCATCATCAAGTTATTGAACAGTAGGGAAAAGGAGCACACAGCACAAGTTAAGTGAAATAAAACAAAATCTCTAACTCTAGCATCAATAACAAGTATAAAATCTCAATCTTGAAAATAATAATAACAAGAAGTGTAAAAGTTTTACATTTGGCTAAGAGGCAAGTATAAAGTACTGTGTATTCTAGTGCAAGCAAAGTGAAGTTATATGTTAGCATCTGAGACATGAGGCTCTGGGACACAGTAAAGTGACTGACATGTGGTTATTGCACATTCTGATAAATGTTAAGGATATTTCAAGAATGCATGACACGTGGGATCAAGTTGGCTTTGTTCATTAGTCCTACAAATAAGTATAAATGATTAGAAAACAACATTACATATCATTACATATGGGTGAGTATGGAAAGAATAAGTTTGGAATTGGCTATTCTATTCATTCAGTATTCACAATTCATTCTTCTTTTTCATCTCTACAGAATGACTTTTTTTAGTGCCTTAAAGTTTTAAATATTTTGTTTTTATGCTTTAGGAAGACCTACGCTGTCAACATAATACACGTTCATTTGCTAAAAAATCTGGGTATACTCATTCATCACATAAAGACACAAAGTGCAATGCCACCATGTCAATCACAATACAACGTACAGGACTGAAGAGACAAAGGTAACTGACTGCAGGGCTGTAATGAATTATTATTTTGATAATTAATTGGTCGTTTATATCAGATTATTTTAAAAACCCATTTCAGCTACATATATAGTATTTGGACATTTTGTTCAATTAGATTAGATTAGATAGGTATTTATTTCCAACCTGCAGGTGTATACATACAGGAAAACAGAAATACAAAGTCTGCGTGGTTTGAAAGGGGAATGATGGAAGCTTACGCTTATATAACCCCCCCCCACACACTCTACTTGCAGACAAGTCATTTTCACGAATGATTACAACAATTGAACATTCAACACAACACACACACACACAGGCCCAACACTCTCCGACCCCACACCCCTCTCCTACCATCACAATTACATAAAGTTATCATGTTCTCTCCTCCAGGTACTTTTCCATCTCAAAACTTTTAAAAAATCGTTTGAACCGTGTCAAATTTAAACAGTTTTTCAGGTCCTCATTGAGTCCATTCCACAAACTCACTCCTCTCACAGAAATACACATAGACTTAAGTGTTGTTCTGACTCGTGGTTGGTATAATCTATGGACTCTTCTTCAACTCACTTGGAGCTGAGTGTCTCTATCACAAAAAAGATTTTGGATATTTGCTGGAAGAGATTGTTTTGATACCTTGAACATAACTTGTGCAGTTTTATAATTGACAATTAATAAATGTTTTGGTATTAACATTTTATTTTCAAATGGTCAGGTCAACTAATGCTTATCTACCAGAATTCCCAATGATTGTGAATATGCGATATATTCACAATCATCCGATCAACTGTGCTGATGCCCTGAAACACCGGGATGTTTCTGATGAAGTGAAAGAGACATTTTTGAAGTTGTTCGAAGCAGGCCATACTCCTTCATCAGCACTTGAGATTCACAAGTATGATATGCAGACCGAAGATCAAGATGACTTTGTTTTCAACAGTGCTGACAGAGCTAACATACCAGACCTTCAATGGTGTTATAGGTAAGACAGTGATTAAAGGAAATAATTCAGCCCACATTGAATCAATCGGGAATCATTTAAAAAATAAAATAAAATGTATCAACATTTAAATGCCCCTTGAAAAATGTGTAACGGACCTGATAAATAAATAGACTGTTGACTGTTGGTTTGAACCGTGGGTGGCCTCTAGTGCATGTGGATTCAGGCTGCAGTACCGTGGGTGGCCTCTAGTGCATGTGGATTCAGGCTGCAGTACCGTGGGTGGCCTCTAGTGCATGTGGTTTCAGGCTGCAGTACCGTGGGTGGCCTCTAGTGCATGTGGATTCAGGCTGCAGTACCGTGGGTGGCCTCTAGTGCATGTGGATTCAGGCTGCAGTACCGTGGGTGGCCTCTAGTGCATGTGGATTCAGGCTGCAGTACCGCGGGTGGCCTCTAGTGCATGTGGATATAGGCTGCAGTACCGCGGGTGGCCTCTAGTGCATGTGGATTCAGGCTGCAGTACCGCGGGTGGCCTCTAGTGCATGTGGATTCAGGCTGCAGTACCGCGGGTGGCCTCTAGTGCATGTGGTTTCAGGCTGCAGTACCGCGGGTGGCCTCTAGTGCATGTGGATTCAGGCTGCAGTACCGTGGGTGGCCTCTAGTGCATGTGGATTCAGGCTGCAGTACCGCGGGTGGCCTCTAGTGCATGTGGATTCAGGCTGCAGTACCGCGGGTGGCCTCTAGTGCATGTGGGGACAGTTTTACGTACCGGATCATCTCGGTCCAGCGCACGGCCTCCTGCAGCTCCATCAGACGCTCCTTGTACTGGTTCCTCTCCATCAGCACTCGCGCCATTTCCACCCGTGTGAAGCGCTTCTTCTGGGCCACGGGGATGTCGGTCTGTCCCCGGCCAAACACACACACACACACAGAGACACACACAAATACACGTACACAACATTATCCATCAATCAGAGTGCCGGTTGGACATTCACAAAACTCACGTCTTCTTCGTCCTGGGTTTTCTGTCTGAGCTCCTCCAATTCCTGTCGTGCTCTGAAATGCAGGATTTTTAATATCACACAAGTCCAATGTCCAATGTTATGAAGACAGTGATGGACGATATCAGCAAACAATCTACATTTTTAATCCTAGTTTTTTAACAACATTAAAAATAAAACATGTATCTCTATTTCTATCTATCTATCTCTCCATCTGTCTGAATGCAGTCACGTACTTTTTGAGCTCCTCCTCCAGCTCTTTGCTCTTGTCCTGGAGCTTGGCCCGGGCCTGGACCAGAGCCTCCATCTCCCCCTGCAGGACCTCCTTCTCACAGGTCAGCTCGTCCACCTTCAGGATTAGGTCTTTGTTCACCACGTTCAGAGCGTTTCTGGAGACAAGCAGCCGGTCAGAGCGTGAGACCGGTCAGAGCGTGAGGCCGGTCAGAGCGTGAGGCCGGTCAGAGCATGCGGCGGGTCAGAGCGTGAGGCCGGTCAGAGCGAGGGTCAGAGCGGTCAGAGCGTGAGGCCGGTCAGAGCGTGAGGCCGGTCAGAGCGTGAGGCCGGTCAGAGGCCGGTCAGAGCGTGCGGCCGGTCAGAGCGTGAGGCCGGTGAGAGCGTGAGGCCGGTGAGAGCGTGAGGCCGGTCAGAGCGTGAGGCCGGTCAGAGCGTGAGGCCGGTCAGAGGCCGGTCAGAGCGTGAGGCCGGTCAGAGCGTGAGGCCGGTGATGAGAGCGTGAGGCCGGTGATGAGAGCGTGAGGCCGGTCAGAGGCCGGTCAGAGCGTGCGGCCGGTCAGAGCGTGCGGCCGGTCAGAGCGTGAGGCCGGTCAGAGCGTGAGGCCGGTCAGAGCGTGAGGCCGGTGATGAGAGCGTGAGGCCGGTCAGAGCGTGAGGCCGGTCAGAGGCCGGTCAGAGCGTGAGGCCGGTGAGAGCGTGCGGCCGGTCAGAGCGTGAGGCCGGTCAGAGCGTGCGGCCGGTCAGAGCGTGAGGCCGGTGATGAGAGCGTGAGGCCGGTCAGAGCGTGAGGCCGGTGATGAGAGCGTGAGGCCGGTCAGAGCGTGCGGCCGGTCAGAGCGTGAGGCCGGTGATGAGAGCGTGAGGCCGGTCAGAGCATGCGGCGGGTCAGAGCGTGAGGCCGGTCAGAGCGTGAGGCCGGTCAGAGCGTGAGGCCGGTCAGAGCGTGAGGCCGGTCAGAGCGTGAGGCCGGTCAGAGGCCGGTCAGAGCGTGCGGCCGGTCAGAGCGTGAGGCCGGTGAGAGCGTGAGGCCGGTGAGAGCGTGAGGCCGGTCAGAGCGTGAGGCCGGTCAGAGCGTGAGGCCGGTCAGAGGCCGGTCAGAGCGTGAGGCCGGTCAGAGCGTGAGGCCGGTGATGAGAGCGTGAGGCCGGTGATGAGAGCGTGAGGCCGGTCAGAGGCCGGTCAGAGCGTGAGGCCGGTCAGAGCGTGAGGCCGGTCAGAGCGTGAGGCCGGTGATGAGAGCGTGAGGCCGGTCAGAGCGTGAGGCCGGTCAGAGCGTGAGGCCGGTGATGAGAGCGTGAGGCCGGTCAGAGCGTGAGGCCGGTCAGAGGCCGGTCAGAGCGTGAGGCCGGTGAGAGCGTGCGGCCGGTCAGAGCGTGAGGCCGGTCAGAGCGTGCGGCCGGTCAGAGCGTGAGGCCGGTGATGAGAGCGTGAGGCCGGTCAGAGCGTGAGGCCGGTGATGAGAGCGTGAGGCCGGTCAGAGCGTGCGGCCGGTCAGAGCGTGAGGCCGGTGATGAGAGCGTGCGGCCGGTCAGAGCGTGAGGCCGGTGATGAGAGCGTGAGGCGGGTCAGAGCGTGAGGCCGTTGATGAGAGCGTGAGGCCGGTCAGAGCGTGAGGCCGGTCAGAGGCCGGTCAGAGCGTGAGGCCGGTGAGAGCGTGCGGCCGGTCAGAGCGTGCGGCCGGTCAGAGCGTGAGGCCGGTGATGAGAGCGTGAGGCGGGTCAGAGCGTGAGGCCGGTCAGAGCGTGCGGCCGGTCAGAGCGTGAGGCCGGTCAGAGCGTGAGGCCGGTCAGAGCGTGAGGCCGGTGAGAGCGTACGGCGGGTCAGAGCGTGAGGCCGGTCAGAGCGTACGGCGGGTCAGAGCGTGAGGCCGGTCAGAGCGTGAGGCGGGTCAGAGCGTGCGGCCGGTCAGAGCGTGAGGCCGGTCAGAGCGTGCGGCCGGTCAGAGCGTACGGCGGGTCAGAGCGTGAGGCCGGTCAGAGCGTACGGCGGGTCAGAGCGTACGGCGGGTCAGAGCGTGAGGCCGGTCAGAGCGTGAGGCCGGTCAGAGCGTACGGCGGGTCAGAGCGTGCGGCCGGTCAGAGCGTGCGGCGGGTCAGAGTGTGAGGCCGGTCAGAGCGTGCGGCCGGTCAGAGCGTGCGGCCGGTCAGAGCGTACGGCGGGTCAGAGCGTGAGGCCGGTCAGAGCGTACGGCGGGTCAGAGCGTGAGGCGGGTCAGAGCGTGCGGCCGGTCAGAGCGTGCGGCGGGTCAGAGTGTGAGGCCGGTCAGAGCGTGCGGCCGGTCAGAGCGTGCGGCCGGTCAGAGCGTGCGGCCGGTCAGAGCGTGCGGCCGGTGAGAGCGTGCGGCCGGTCAGAGCGTGAGGCCGGTCAGAGCGTACGGCGGGTCAGAGCGTGAGGCGGGTCAGAGCGTGAGGCGGGTCAGAGCGTGCGGCGGGTCAGAGCGTGAGGCCGGTCAGAGCGTGAGGCCGGTCAGAGCGTGCGGCGGGTCAGAGCGTGAGGCGGGTCAGAGCGTGAGGCGGGTCAGAGCGTGCGGCGGGTCAGAGCGTGAGGCCGGTCAGAGCGTGCGGCCGGTCAGAGCGTGAGGCGGGTCAGAGCGTGCGGCGGGTCAGAGCGTGAGGCCGGTCAGAGCGTGCGGCGGGTCAGAGCGTGAGGCCGGTCAGAGCGTGAGGCCGGTCAGAGCGTGAGGCCGGTCAGAGCGTGAGGCCGGTCAGAGCGTGAGGCGGGTCAGAGCGTGAGGCCGGTCAGAGCGTGAGGCCGGTCAGAGGCCGGTCAGAGCGTGAGGCCGGTCAGAGCGTGAGGCCGGTGATGAGAGCGTGAGGCCGGTCAGAGGCCGGTCAGAGCGTGCGGCCGGTCAGAGCGTGCGGCCGGTCAGAGCGTGAGGCCGGTCAGAGCGTGAGGCCGGTGATGAGAGCGTGAGGCCGGTCAGAGCGTGAGGCCGGTCAGAGCGTGAGGCCGGTCAGAGCGTGAGGCCGGTCAGAGCGTGAGGCCGGTGATGAGAGCGTGAGGCCGGTCAGAGCGTGAGGCCGGTCAGAGGCCGGTCAGAGCGTGAGGCCGGTGAGAGCGTGCGGCCGGTCAGAGCGTGCGGCCGGTCAGAGCGTGAGGCCGGTCAGAGTGTGTGTGGTTCTTTTATTCTTACTTTGTCTCGAGCAGCTGGGAGTTCTCCTGGATCAGGTTTTCCACTTCACGACCCATGCCTTTATGTCCAGAGAAACACAGTCAGCAGGATTACAAGGTCGAGAGGCACCACTGAGAAGAGACTAAAGCCCTATTTCCACCAACTCTACTCTACCCTTAATGCCTACCAACCTTTTTATGTATGCCTTTAACTTTCTACTCTGACAACTTGACCAAAAACCTTCTTGCTAAAGCGTTTTAACGGATCAGAGTGAATACTGCTTTGTTTTGGGAGGGTTGCAAGGCCTGGAACAGCCTGGAGCAGCCTGGAGTAGCCTGGAGTAGCCTTCCTCATCTCTAGCATTGTGTAAGTCTAAACTTTTTACCCATGCTAAGTTGACTAAGTTTTATATATAGAGCTTTTATACAAACATTCAGTCAGAAATGTTTCTTTTCATTGCAACCTTTTGTATGTTTTAAAAAGTTTGTAAATGTGTAGGATTTTATGTCTGTCTAAAGCACTCTGGGGTGAGCTGCTTGAATTGTGCTTTATAAAAAACTTGATTGATTGATAAAGTATCAGACACTAAAGCATAATGAAACACACCCGAGTAGAGTAGAGTAGAGTAGAGTAGAGTAGAGTAGAGTAGGGTAGAGTAGAGTAGAGTAGGGTAGAGTAGAGTTCTGACTGGTGGAAACAGGGCTAAAAAGGGATAACATTGTGGCCACTAACACATTGCGGTAATTATTGTATTGTGCGTAGTTAGATGGAGCTGTGTACAACCTCTGGGACTTTGGACTGGGACTTTGGACTGGGACTTTGGACTGGGACTTTGGACTGGGACTTTGGACTGGGACTTTGGACTGGGACTTTGGACTGGGACTTTGGACTGGGACTTTGGACTGGGACTTTGGACTGGGACCTTGGACTGGGACCTTGGACTGGGACCTTGGACTGGGACCTTGGACTGGGACCTTGGACTGGGACCTTGGACTGGGACCTTGGACTGGGACCTTGGACTGGGACCTTGGACTGGGACCTTGGACTGGGACCTTGGACTGGGACCTTGGACTGGGACTTTGGACTGGGACTTTGGACTGGGACTTTGGACTGGGACTTTGGACTGGGACTTTGGACTGGGACTTTGGACTGGGACTTTGGACTGGGACTTTGGACTGGGACTTTGGACTGGGACTTTGGACTGGGACTTTGGACTGGGACTTTGGACTGGGACTTTGGACTGGGACTTTGGACTGGGACTTTGGACTGGGACTTTGGACTGGGACCTTGGACTGGGACCTTGGACTGGGACCTTGGACTGGGACCTTGGACTGGGACCTTGGACTGGGACCTTGGACTGGGACCTTGGACTGGGACCTTGGACTGGGACCTTGGACTGGGACCTTGGACTGGGACCTTGGACTGGGACCTTGGACTGGGACTTTGGACTGGGACTTTGGACTGGGACTTTGGACTGGGACTTTGGACTGGGACTTTGGACTGGGACTTTGGACTGGGACTTTGGACTGGGACTTAGGACTGGGACTTTGGACTGGGACTTTGGACTGGGACTTTGGACTGGGACTTTGGACTGGGACTTTGGACTGGGACTTTGGACTGGGACTTTGGACTGGGACTTTGGACTGGGATTTTGGATTGGGACTTTGGACTGGGACTTTGGACTGGGACTTTGGACTGGGACCTTGGACTGGGACTTTGGACTGGGACCTTGGACTGGGACCTTGGACTGGGACCTTGGACTGGGACCTTGGACTGGGACTTTGGACTGGGACCTTGGACTGGGACCTTGGACTGGGACCTTGGACTGGGACTTTGGACTGGGACCTTGGACTGGGACTTTGGACTGGGACTTTGGACTGGGACTTTGGACTGGGACTTTGGACTGGGACCTTGGACTGGGACCTTGGACTGGGACTTTGGACTGGGACCTTGGACTGGGACCTTGGACTGGGACCTTGGACTGGGACTTTGGACTGGGACCTTGGACTGGGACCATGGACTGGGACCTTGGACTGGGACTTTGGACTGGGACCTTGGACTGGGACTTTGGACTGGGACCTTGGACTGGGACTTTGGACTGGGACTTTGGACTGGGACTTTGGACTGGGACTTTATTCACACAGTCCAACACTGCAGACTCACATAATCGTTACAACTTGACCAGTGGATCAGGAGCATGTGCAGTCAGTCCATATTCAAACAAACATGGTCCTTACAAGGAGAAAGACCGGAAGTGGACTGATCTTAAACACTGATCCGTTCTTTTTTTAACTACAATTCCATCTTCCTGGAGCAGGGCAGGGGTTTTCAACTCTGTTCTCAAAAGGCCGAGAGGCTGCAAGTTTAAATCCACACCGGCAGAGTTGAATCCCCTTTTGAGGATCTTTGTCTTAGTGGTCATAATGTTATGCCTGGTCCTACACCAAAACACAAGACACACATCTACAGGAGAACTAGCACTTAGGAAGTCGAGGAGAAGAGAGCGAGCAGAGGAGGGGGGAGGAAGAGGAGAGGTCTTACCAATCAAGCTAAGGTCTGGGTGAACCATGCAGTAAGTCCATGTCAGGCAGGAGACGAGGAGAGACAGAGAAATGTGCAACTGTTTAGGTGAGATGGACAAACATGAAGGAGCCAGGGCCAACAGGGCAGCGTGGAGAGCCGGAGTTCTGTCTTTACAAGTTACACCGAGAGAAACACAAGTCGAGAAACCCTGCTCTGGTCTCTCACTCTGGTCTCTCTCTGGTCTCTCTCTCTGGTCTCTCTCTCTGGTCTCTCACTCTGGTCTCTCTCTCTCTGGTCTCTCTCTCTCTGGTCTCTCTCTCTCTGGTCTCTCTCTCTCTGGTCTCTCTCTCTGGTCTCTCTCTCTGGTCTCTCTCTCTGGTCTCTCTCTCTGGTCTCTCTCTCTGGTCTCTCTCTCTGGTCTCTGTCTCTGGTCTCTCTCTCTGGTCTCTCTCTCTGGTCTCTCTCTCTGGTCTCTCACTCTGGTCTCTCACTCTGGTCTCTCTCTCTGGTCTCTGTCTCTGGTCTCTCTCTCTGGTCTCTCTCTCTGGTCTCTCACTCTGGTCTCTCACTCTGGTCTCTCACTCTGGTCTCTCTCTCTGGTCTCTCTCTCTGGTCTCTCTCTCTCTGGTCTCTCTCTCTCTGGTCTCTCTCTCTGGTCTCTCTCTCTGGTCTCTCTCTCTGGTCTCTCTCTCTGGTCTCTCTCTCTCTGGTCTCTCTGGTCTCTCTCTGGTCTCTCTCTCTGGTCTCTCTGGTCTCTCTCTGGTCTCTCTCTCAGTAGAAGACAAAGATGGCGGTCCAGGCTCCAAAGTGACCACTGACTCCACAAACAAAGAAACAGGAGCTTGGAGTTTGACATTTCTGTTCAAACCACAGCCGCAGAACACAGCCGCTGTGAGGAGGAGAGTTAGTCCACACTGAGACTGAGCCTGAGCATCTGTGGGCCGTGAAATGGAACTAGGATCTAGTTTTAAGATAAGATAAACCTTTGTATTAAAGGTCCCATATTTCGCTCTACTACTTCCTGTTTCACACTCACGCTAACTCAGAGGTAAATAAATTAGCATAAAAGCTAACTGTTCAGCTTTCAGTACATAGTCATTTCAGATCTGAGAATACACTTTATTCCAGCAAGGGCAAAAAAAGGGCCAAATATTGTCAGATATTTACACCAAAAACACATTTTCTCGAAGTTGACAGGATGCTAACACAAAAAGCTATGGGTGGTATGGTTGGGCGATATGGGCCTCAGCATGTATCACGATTTTTGTTGGTATGTATCACGATATGACGATATGATAATTTTAACAAAGCCTCATATAAAAGCTATAAAAACTTAGCACTGATAATTTTAAACACACTTGCCTCAAAGTGCATTTACTGATTTATTGGCAGCAAAATGTGTAATACAGCTATTATATATAAAACTTATTAACAAAACTGAATTGTAGAGAATTCTGTTTTGTACATACTGAAAATTGCAGGCAACATGTAATAAAGGTGTTGCATATAAATATATAAAAGTTTGTCCTTTGTAATATAAAAAGTGTAGCATTATCAAATAATTATTTGATCACTTTTTTATGTTTCCTAATCCCAATATAGTCAAAATGATCAAATACTGTGTATATTTTTTGTATCCTTTTGCGTTTCTATAATTATGTAATTATAACTTGAGAGTGAGAGAGAGAGAGAGAGAGAGAGAGAGACCAGTTGTTTAGGGCAGCTGCTTTCACAACATTAGATCCACTGTCGATAGTTACACACAATTGCTTATTTTTATCTAGTTCCCAAACTACTCCCATATGTTTGAGGTAGCTCCGCGTTTTGGCACAATGTCTTCTACAATCTGCATGTCTTCACCATGGTCTTCACCGCCGCCCTCAGCCATGTTTGCTCTCTGCTCTGTTGTTGTTGTCCCTGCACGCCGCTCTGCTACACGTGCCGCGCAGATGCGTCATCAAAGTGCGCCGCACACAAACGTGTCTTCCGCTCGCTGTTTTCAGTGTTAAATGATTGTTTTCACCGGTATAAGGCATTTTCTTATCATTTCATTTACTTATACCGGTATACCGGTACAAAAAAAATATCGCCCAACCCTAATGGGTGGTAGGTGTGGGCCCATGCTAATATTCACTGTCCATGGACCAGACGCTGGACTTGGAGAGAGGCTGGAAAGAGATCGTTCCCACATGATCCTTCAGCTAGTCTTAAAACCACAGCATGCAGCAACCTCAAGTATGTTATAAGTACAAAAGACAGACATGTGCTGATTTGCTGCTTCAGTTTCTCCCCCTGTCAATCACCTCCTGGAGGCGGGGCTTCTCAGGCCACGATTTGGTGCCACGTCACGAATTGAATGGAGGAGTTTTGCTGCCTCTCGAGAATGAATGAGACAGATTGTATTTTAACTAAAGCTTGAGGGGATCAATGATAAAACTACTTTGGGCATGTGTAAAAGTCAAAAAGCGTTTTATGGGACCTTTAAACCTCAGTGTTACTTTTGTCACATGTTTAAACAATGGAAATGGCTCTTTTGTTGCTATGAAGCCATTTT